TTCCTAATTTCGTCCCAAGTTCAGTAAACTTGTCTTTGTACAGAATACGGTGATAGGGATGCGAATTGTTGTATGCGTTGTATGATTGTATGATTGTATGTATTGTATGATCGTATGCATTGTATGTTTTGTATGATTGTATGTATGGATGGTATGTATTGTAAGCCCCGGGGCGGGTCTCGTGCGTAGTCACCTCCACGTGGTGAGACCTGGTAATCGATATCGTTTTAGAAACTGTAATGTTGTAAAACAATATCAAGCTAAGAACTACGCAACCTACAGTTCAGTTTAGATCTAAATTGAACTGTAGGAACAATTAGTTGATAAGTAAAATATTAGACCCCCCAGCGGGGCACCGTGGGACGACGAGGGATCTCGCAGAGACATCGTGGGATGCGTGCATCGTAGCTTTAAGTTGAATGCGCTTAGTTTTAGTTAATCGTAAGACGATTGTAAATTTCATGTTAGTATATTCTATAGAATGATACTAGTGATACTTGTAAATTTAATGTTAGCATATTCTATAGAATGATACTAAAACTAGTGATTTCTTTTACTATGTCGGTATTTCAGGTCACGTGCCACGAAATCTCGTAAGATGCTTGGTGTATTATATACCTCGTCTGTGATAACAATTAGTAACTGTTGGAATGAAAATCGGAAGCAATTGTGGAATCAACTAGATAAATCGGGCCATTATCAGACATCCAATCTTTTTTGGATTAGTCTGGATAAATCCAAACCCTTTAATGCCCCATGTTTTGAGGATCACTTCGCGTACCATTTTCATGTCACATCCTACCATATCGGTTTAAACAGGTTTTGCACCGCAGCGCTACTAACAACAAAATCATTAACTAATTAGGATAGATCGAACCACAGAGGTATATGAATAGACATTGCATGACCATGTATCTTTTCGGCCACGATTTCGGGGCATCTGTGCCCTATTACTATTTTCGTGTTATACCGATTCAGCAAGTTTTGCCCGTGAAAATCAAAAAATATGGACAGTGTTGCCAGCAGATTTGTCTATACCTTCTGATTCCGATACAAGAGATCAGTATCTAAAACTATTCTATTTTATATTATGCGTCTATGTATATATTACAAACAACTCTATCCGTATTTTAATATTAATATACATTATATACATTTCATGTACATAATTATTTATACTTTGTTAATTAATTACTGTGGATAGAGAAACCGTATTTCGAAATATTAACCAGAGACAAAAGAATGGTAATTTTCAACAGAAACGTAAAAAGAAAATTGAACTTAAAAAATAAAATCAAAATCCCATTTAAATAAATCTCCCAGTGTTTACTATTTTAGTAGAACTGAAGGTAGCAATATGATATAGTGTTATATAACTATCGACATTTTATTCAACTCGATAGAAAAAGAGAAAACTGCATGCCCACAGTAAATGTTAACCATAAATTGTAGCAAAAAGATTGATGTAGCAAAAAGAATTTACGTTAGCAATTGTAATTTATTAATGATAGACAGACAGTCATGTCACTATGGCATTCTTCCAATTGATTCTGAAAGCTAATAAATTGGAAAAACTGAGGCAAAGTTACGAGGATGAAAAACTGACATCAATCGAGATTTCGAAGGGCATTGTCAAGCCTGTATATACCTTAAAACAACGAATTCGTCGACGAAAAATATGGTTAAACTCAACCTTTAAATAATCGATGTATTTTAATGTCATTCTTGCACTGACTATCTTTAAAACAAAATCAAAATAGGTTTAAGAGAAAGGTTAGAGAAATCTTTGCCATTCCAAAAGAGTTTTGGCCGTGCAGAAAGATCGTTGCAATTCGTACCGATGGCACATTGGAAAATTACGTAGCGAAGAGCTTTGCAGGATTTGTTGGTGGAATAATCTTGACGTACATATTCTTCATATTTTTCGTTTTCCAATTGAACTTTAAACTATCGTCCGCGACGTTCCTCTGTGCAATAATCGGAGCAATTCTCACTTTAGGTCTTGCGTTTTCTTTCCAAGTTCGGTATGCTATATTACAAATATAGATTCGGAGATCGTTTTCGCTCATTTTCGCATGAACAATGTCAATGTATTCTTTATCGTTTATTTCAGATGCATTGTGCTTCTACTCTTGCCACAATTTTTCTCGAAACGTGGAAGGCAAGCTCTAATGGCGTACGCATTTATCTTAGCTTTAACAGGACCGGTGAAGAATACTTTGCATAACACTGGTGTGCTCTCAGAATCATTGGCCTGTGCACAAGTACACAGCTCTCTTACACCGATTACTCGAGCCCCCATTTCCGAGTACCGAACATTTTCATGATCGAGTCGTGATTTATTCGAGACGATCGTTTATTCTGCAGGAACAGCTGAAAGAAGCGGTGAAGACCGTCGTAGATCTGGCGAAGCAACCGTTTTATGCTTTACGAGATGCAATATCGAAAGTCATAAAGACGATCAAGGCAGTCGTGAAAAGGATCAAGCGGACTTTAATCGCGATTAAGAGAGTCGTTCTTAGCATACGTAAGTACAAACTGAATACTTTCGAAATGTATCGAACGTTCTACAACGACGCTGCAACGTCGACTCTATTTCATTTAATTCCAGTGAGAGTTATCACTTCGGTATTCCAGTGGTTGGGAAGTGTCATAAATATATGCAACAAGAAATTGGGCACACCTTTCGACAGGTGTCAGGCGGTCTTCGAGGGAGCGGTGGCAGACTGCAAAGCAAAGTTGGGTCCAATTTTAGGACTAGTTTGCAACATAACATACGTAGTCAGCACTCTGTGTTACATAGTGAAGCCGCTAGACTTCATTTGCATGCTTGTTTCTTATATCGCCGACACCGTGGTTGGCGTTGTAAAACGTAGTGAGTTGCCTTGGAAATTTTTGGTCAATCGCACTTTCCTCGACCTGTTGAACAATTGCAAACTGATGTTTTGAAGAGGTCAAGAAGTTCACGATGCACATGAAAGCGATGTTCTACGTTAAGGTCAAGTTCTCCCATTCGTTTCAGTTTGAAACGAACCAAAGCAGAACGGTAGGAGATGTGTCCTCGAGTATCGCCGCAGAAATACGCTCGAGAACAGACAAGCTATTTGGGTTCTTCGATTTCATGAGTTTCGTCACGTCCTTTTTCATATTCTTCATCATACTCAGGTAAATTATAAGAGCATATAAACTGCACGATAAGCGCACATTTACATTTCTTTGCAAAAACAACAATTTTTACTGCGTCACGAAAGAATATTTAATATATTTTATAAATAACGCGTTAGTCACTCGTATCGGTTTAACCCTTTCGCTACGGGCCGATTTTTCGGCGCGCTACTCCCACTGAAAGTGTGCACTTGCGGAAGATCTGCAATATCGCCCGAAGCAAAGGAAAAAGTGAAAAAATTATCACATGATACGATATAAAGAAAATATAATTTAATAATGTAATTTCGTATGGAAAGTTTCAAAACACGGGTATATACTATAGTAACCGATCGTACATAACGAGCATCGATCGTTGGGTGACTATAGTCACCGCTCGTAGCGAAATGGTTAACAGCCAGAACTTTGGCTTCTTTTGGGATTTTGATAAATAAAAATAATATGTATTAATGACGAATAATAATAATATTCACCCCAATATCTTGTTACAAAACTTAACATTTCCAGAGTACTGCGTTATCGTTACAAGTGGTTAACCAGCGAGCGTTTCGACAATCGATATATAACCAATGATCTACGTACCATCGATTTGATAAGGGCACGCCAAGACAAGGAGACAGTTTTGCCATTAAATATACGAGAACGAAACAGATACGTGCCACTTGCTTCCGTCAGATTAATAAAATCCGAAAGGACTAAATTAGCAAAGTCTATAGTGTTTCTAATCTTGGCCACGATTAAACTGATCACGTACATAGCGGCAGACTATTGTCTCTATTGGGTATTGAACACCATTCAGCTTTATGGACGATTTCAAAGTAAGGTAAAATAATCTTTAGATTACCGTTGGATTGCGAATACACACGCAGATTCATATTTTTCTAAATGCAATTAAAAAGTTTGCCAATCTCTAGACCATGGTTTCAATTATTCGAAACAAATACTGCAGAAATGAACATTTTCATACACTTTCATTACAATCGTTTCACACGTGAACACAGTAATTTTTAGGTTGAACGACCAAGTGTGGTAACCATTCACGTATCAGGCAAAGGCTATTTAGCTGATCTTTACAAGAGTATCGTAAAGGCGTTCACACCACGCGGCAACGAAGCAGAAATCGACACGATGCTTTGTCTTCCAACTCCTATAACTCCCGATCTCGACAAATACATACAAATCTTCACTTTGATCTTGCTCTGTTGGTTAATAGCGTTCTTCGAGCCTTATGGTTTACGAATGAGACAGATCGTTATGTGCCAGTATTACCCTGACAGAGCGAAACAAAGAGCAGCTTGGCTGTACAATCACATCATCAGGTATCATATTTTCACCCCATTTTGTCGGTGAATTTCATTTCATCTTCACCTAGAGATCGACACCTGAATTTTGAGTTTCCCGGACCTCGGTACGTTCCTAAAGCTTTCTAAGCTTTCGTTTCAGGTCAAGGGCCAGCTTTTTGAAGTTCGCTAGACGTCAATTACGGCGGAAATTCGGCTTAACCGATGGAGAAGACATCGAGAAAGTGACTTTGAAAGAGAAACTGTGGACTATGTTCCCGCTATTGAACACGTTTTTCCCACTGAAGCAAAAAGCGTGCCTTCTGTGTGGCGCGGTCGAACGTGCTGAACTTTTGCATGTCAAATGCCCAACCCCTGGTTGCGTTGGTCTATATTGTACGCAGTGTTTCGTCGATTTGCAGAACTTGTGCACCATTTGTCGTTCACCGATGGACTACGGTGACCTGTCCGACATGAGCGAAGAAAAGTAAATGAATTAGCAATAAGAATCCTGATATTATGTCCCTGATATTATGCCTCTACCAACATTCTTCAAATATTAGAGATTCTTCGGAAGATCAGCTTGAAATACCGAGAAGAGCGATACTCGAAGCAGAGAGATTAAAATTAGAGGAAAGGAAAAGAATATTGGAAGAAGAAGATAAAATGGTGGAGAAGAAAGATATTACAGTTGACGAGGAAGATGAAACGGTGGAAGAAGAATATGACGAAGAGTACGAAGAGTACGAAGAAGATGAAGATGTAGCAAGAGAAAGATATGAAGACGTATTAGAGGAAGAATTTGTAGATGAAGAGATCACGGAGGAAGAAGATGAAGAAGACGAAGAGATGCTAAGTGAGGAAGAAGAAGTAAAGAAAACTTTAATACCTGACAGAGTACGGAAAAGAGAAAAAGAAGAAATAGCAGAAGAGATGAAGAGGGAAAAAGTGGAAGACGACGTCACTGTACAAACGGATGATAAATGCCTGGAAGATCTCGATCTGAGTACCGAATACAGTTACAGTAAGAATTCGAATTAAAAAACTTACATACAATTAAATGTTTTACTAATTATTATTCCTTAGCTTATCAAGATGAATCTCCAGAAGAGGTCGAAATTGAGAAAGCGAGAGAACGATTCAAAGACGTGGAAGCACAAAAAATTCGAGACGATGTAACGATCCAAGTGCGTTTTAACAAAATACAGTAAAGCTTTTTCAATTGATTTCAACTTTCAATTAATTTTCTTTATTTAATCTAGATATTTAACCAGCCATTTGTTAAAGAACCAATCTGCACTAGCGAATCGCCGACTTCCGGCTTCGTCGTAAGAGCACGTAGGAAAGTTCGTGCCAAATTAAAAAAACGACCGACTGCCAGGGTGAAAGATACGGATTCATCAAGTTCGATCGCCGACACGGAATTCTGGCAGAGCGAGGAAGTCGACGAGGAAGAAGTAATACACATAGAAGTAGACGACGGCTCGGAAGAATTACTCCCGAAGGATAGGGAGGATAAGAGGAAACTAGGTCGTATAAATAGAATCGTCAGTGCAGTTGCGAGAATTCCTTGGCTCGGCAAAGGAGAAGTATGAACCATTCCAAGTCCCTCGAATATTTTCATATTTTCGGATCATTATTTTTTTCCTCCCGGAGAGATTTCCCCCGTCTTATTGAAGGAGCAGAAATTCTGATTAAATACGCTTCGAAATACTTAGAATTTTTGGCTTGGTTTTTGAAAAAAAAATTTTTTTTTTTTTAAATAGTATTGAAGCTAGCTAAAATGAATGAAACTTTTAGACTTTTAGATTACTGATATTTAAAAAAAAAAAGATCGAAAAGGTAAAATTTATTATTTCAACAGGACGACAAAAAGACATGCAAAGGACTGCGAAAGAAACGTCCGTCTCTTATGGATACGATTGTCGGTATGCTTCACAGAAAACAATCGAAACCAGCGCAATTATATAGAAAAATCAGAAAGACGAAGGACTCGTCGTTCTCCTCTTCATCCTCAACGAACGATGAAACCGAAAGTTTGCTAAGAGTTCAAGACACTGATAGAACATACTTCACTAGGAATAAAAGGACATCAACGGAAGATAATTCTGATGAGATTCTGACTAGAAGAAGGGCATCGTACGAAAAGAAATTCAAGACGAAACGATTACCAAGGTAATCTCATACAAAGAGCGAACAATTACAATGATTTTTAATGAGCATACGATCAAAACAGGCATTTAGAATCTGCTGTGAGAGACACCGCTTACTTCGAGGTAGACGAGACTACTGATTCGCGAATAAGGAAATGTGTTCGTCAAGTAGAGGATATCAACGAATCGTCAGACATAAAAGCGCCATCAGGGGTTAAATATAGAGACACGTGGAGCACGACGGAAAACGATGAATTAGTATTATTATATTTATACTTGAAAGAAATTGTATTGCTTTGTGTGATTTTTTTTCTTTTTTTGCATTAGTGGTGCAAAAATATAAAAATACTCATTATGGTGCTTGAATCATTCAGGCTTCTGATCATTCAGAGATGGCGAAACGAAGATTCGAAATGCCTATGGTAAAAAGATATTTGCCTATGTATCAGAGTCCAGAACTGATCGAAGAATTGAAAAGACACGATCGAATGAGATTAGTTCAAGAAAGAGAAGCTGAAAGACATAGAAGCAGAAGTCGTTATCAACCTTCGGATTCAATCTCGACAGACATTAAAAAGAAAGATCGACGAATCGATCGTTCTCCTACACTTGGTCCTTCGGTAATTATTCAAGTCACGTTGCACATATGTATTTCAAAAATGAAAAACTCGTACAAGTATCTAAGGAAAAGCGGGACACGTACACATATATTCTAAAAATATAATAGTTATATTATATCACTGATTTATCACTCACCGATTTATCACTTTTGTAATTTTCCATTCTAAAAATCCTTGGTTCAGGACTGAATTATTTTCAATTGTGACACTTTTGAAATATATGAGATACCCACAGATAGTAGTACGAAATTAGGTATATCTTGGATTCCAATAAAAACATTTACTACTTCGTTTTAAGTTTAAACCAAGCAAACAAGATGAAAGACTTCCGTATCAAGAATCGAGAGCATATAAAAATGTGTTGCGCGAATTTCGGAGAAGGGCTGCACGTGAAGAAAGCAGTGGAGAACGTAGAAGTAGCGTGCCATTAATATGCTTGTCTCAAAAGGCGGATAAAAGTAAGAAAGTAAAGCAACTGTATCCACTGCGAAGTCAAGCTCGACGAAAGTCGACCGCGATAAAAAAATTGGCTCGTAAAATAGTAGCGCCACTCAAGGTAACTCGAAATGCGAATTATTAATCGTTGCTGCTAGAGTATACTCCTTCATATTATCGTTCTTTCTTAGCCATCTAAATGTAAAAAGCACAGATGCAAAACACCCGGAGAAATGGAAACTACGTGCTATGATTGCTTATGTGATCCAGAAGTTTTGAGCGAGGCATCCTCCACTTGTAATTGTGTTGGAAAGACACGTAAATCTAGTACCTTAACATCCGCTGATGAAACGGGTGATAATAACGAGCCGATTCAATAAAAAGGTAAAACCGATATTATCAAAATCGCAAGAACCCGAACACATTATATGTATTTATATACATGTGTAATTTGACTTTAATAATTTCTAAACGATTCAAACAAGTAATCTTCGATTATTTTTTATTATTTGTTGTTTTGCATTTGTGATGCGTTGCAATGATTTGTCTTGTCGTTTCCGAGGATCGCGTATATCTACCGAATTAATCTTCACTCGTTATCATAGACCATTTCACAGAATTAATCTTTTATTCGAAGAATCCCGATACTACGATCGCATCATACTTCACAACTTTGATCGACGTACAGATACTTTCGATTGTTTTAAATTTTGTACTCTATGAAAATGTATGTATAACCTTTTAACACAAAAAAGTTCAGTGAAAAAAAAAATATATATATATATAACAATTATGCGTCCGAGATGAAATGAAATTATTGTTTCCTGACACGCACACAAGCGAATTTTTGGCAATGTCGAGAGAAGTGCGTGTGTTTCTTCAAAACCGAAGAAAAACAGGATTTGCAAAAGAGGAAGAAAAGATAGGAGAGAAGATATAGTGGAATTCTTGTGATGTTAAAATGTTGCTTAGCAAGTCGTTCAATCGCAAGCAAACGGACCCACTCTCAGGAACATTGGGAGAAAAGAACAATGAATCATTTCCAGGGCAAAAATCAGAAAAATTTGCAAGGCAAGCTGACGCAAATGTAATTCATCCACTGCAAGATACAAAAACGAACATTCCTTCTCTGACTTTGCCAAGTATGCACACTAAACCTAACCAAACAATATCGCATATCGAAGATAGAAAAAAAGTCTCACGAACAATCGAACAAGAAAAGAAGGATGAAATCAAAAATGAAATAAAGGGTGAAATCAAAGATGAAATTAAAAATGATTTGGATGCGAACAAAATATGCAGTCCCATAAATTGCACGAAAGGGAAATATCAAAAAGTAGATTCGGACGCGAACGAAACTTGCAATTCGGCAATTTGCACGAAAAATAGGTACAAAGAAGTAGATTTGGATACGAACGGAATTTGCGTTTGTTCTGAAGGTTCTACAGAAACACTCGGCCAGCATGATTCGGAAGATAAAATCTGTCCAACGAAATTAACCGAGATAATCAATAACTCGGTCAAAGAAGCGATGCAGAGTATCGTCAAGCAGTGTAAAACGGTATTTAAGATCGCGAGTATCCAGGATACTTAAATTTTTTACCAAATTTTTCTTGTCAGTGCATACGCAAATAGGATGAAAAGAATGATTATCTTTAACGTGTGATATCTATTTTGCGTTTGAAAAAGCAGAAAGAAGAACGCGACGTCGATAAAAAGCAAACGGAAGAAACCGTGTTCGACAAAGCTTGTTACGTAAACAAGGAAGGAGTTTTGGCAAAAATGAAGTGTGAACATCGACCATGTACGACTCATTGTCGAAACAGTTCGATCATCGAACAATTGCGTAAAAATAACGAACGAAATCGGAATCGACTGCGGGAGAGATATAACAGTGCTCGAGCGAACTTCAGTAACTCGAAGCTTCAGAATAAAAAAACAAACGCGTTCGAAGAGATGAAACGGAAGAGACACTCGTTCAACAACGTAAAAACTGACAATCGCAGAATGACTGGAAACGTGAACATTTATATTTGCTCGGAAGCTAGCGAAAATATTCAAGTAAATCTACTTTTTTTTTTTTTTATTTATTTATTCGCAGTAGCTTTCCTTGGAAAATCTTACAATTTACCGTTTCATTCGCTACCAGGCGGCCAGAAAACAAGACGAATCTCAATCGTGCGTGGGATCGAGTTCAGGAACAACGACGGAACAGTCGAGAGTATCATCGAACAAACTTTTGACTTGCATTCGAAACAAGCGCAGAAAATCTGAAGGACAGGATTCGTTCGATCTGCTGCCGAGGAGCGAAGAAAGTAAGGACGACAGCACTGTCCTCAGTTCAGGAGCTTATGAGGATTCCAGAAGCACGATTAAATTAGAAAGTTGTAATGTTCTCGACATTTGTGACAAAGACGTCCGTGCAAAAGATGGATCTACTTCGATCGAGTGCGAATGCAAAGACACGGGTAACGACGATACTCCCGTGGCAATCGGCAAATCGGATTTGTCGTTTCAAAAGTCGAAGTTCGTGGTATGCGACAAATTAGAGGAACCTTGCTCCATGGCTTATACAATGAAAAGTTCGTCGAACTCGAGGAGTGGAGGATGGTCCTCGAAATCGATCTGCAGCAGTCGAAATACAGATTACACTTGGTCTGATGCTTGGTCGATGGAGCCTAATTTCAGTTGTTGTACCAAGGATAGTGAAATACGTAGATGGTCACTGAAAACACGCGAAAATATATGTACTGATAGATCTGGTATTTGGTGTAGCTGTAAAAATAGGAGATCCTTCTCCAAGACAGTGGGAAAAGAATCGTGGATGACTTGTAACTGTATAACAGAGGAAGAAGAGGATGTATGCGTCGATGTTGACAGTTGCCGAAAATTTGAAAAGCCGCCTGTAGAAGATGAAGAAGCAGCAACTGTTTGTTTCGAAACTTCGGAGGATTTGGAAGGAACTGCGAGGTTTGTACCATGTCCACAGAAAAGTGCGGAGAAATTAAAGGAAGATACAGAGACCTCGGAAAAGGAGGAAGAAAAATTACCAACTGTTGATTTGACGGAAAAGGACGAAGAGCCGAAGGAGATTGTGCACGATGTGCCAAAGCTCGTTCCGCCAAGAACTGTCAAACCAGAAGCAATTATACTTAAACAGCTTCTAAAACAATCGAAACAAGCAAAGCCTAAACAAATTATTGATGAGAAAGATACTCCCCCGCCATCTGTTAAGAAAGCAGAATTGCTAGAACCATCGACGGAAGATACGGCGGCTCCTTTGAAACCCGAAACACTCCAAGTGTTGCCGCGTATTTTAGCAAAATACAAGTTACCTAAGAGATTACCTAGCAAGTTTGTGGAACCAACAATCGGAGGGAAACGAACTCCGAAGAAAGTTGAAATAGTAGAAGAAAAATTGGTAGAGAAAGGCTTGAAGGAGAAAGCGTTAGAGAGGAAAGAGAATGATATAAGTAAAAATACGAAAACCTTGGTCGAGAGAACAGTGGAAGAGAAAAACCATGACAAAATTGAAGGTACGAAAATGACAATGGAGGAAGAGAAAAATACGAAGGTTCAGGAAATTTCGGAACCATTATTTCTCTTTAAAGGTTCAAAAAAGATTACAAATAAAACGGAAAATCCAGAATCAATACTCGAGGGATTCGAGGGACTCGAGGAAAGAAAAAATGGAATCGTTGAACCTTCACCACTTGATATTGACACCGATAAAATTGTTGGTGTTCCTGAAACAGAGACTAATAAGGAAAAACTTACAGACGAGACGAAAGAGAGACATGAATCGAAGGAAAAATGGATTCCTTCCAAATTATACGAATACATGCCAAAAAAAATATCTATACCGAAGAAAATATCTGTGTCTATACCGAACAAAATACGTGTGCCTATGCTAAAGAAAATACCTATACTGGGTGGGAAATATAAGTCTGAACCAAATGCAATTAATTCCACAAGATCTCCAGTAAATGATGACAGTGATAAAAACAACAAAAATTCAAAGGTAAATAATCCAACAAAGCCACTTGTAAACGAGAAGAATAAAAAAAACAACAGAAATAATCCCATTTTCAATCCTTCGCAACCCATGAAAGAAGAAACAATAAATAAGAATGCGAAAGATAAAATAAATCGTCATTCCAATGAAGGAAATCCTGATACAAACAAATCATTAATTGTCACTAACAGTAAAGATTCGCCTGTTTCGCCAACTCAGAATACTGATACTGAATTAGGAAATCGAGAAAATTCTCGCGAAAACCGCGAACTACATGAATCATTGACGAAACCACAGTTTGAAGAGGAACTGGACGTTGAAAGAGATGGAAAACCCGAACTCCAGATAACTAAAACACAAGAGGAAAAACCAACTAAAATGATGCACGCCAACGTGCAGTCTGAAAATGAACTTTTATCTACGCAGCTTGCCGAATTAGAATCTCAAACGATATGTACAAATCATTTGGGCGATTGTGCCACGACCGAAAAGAGTACGTGCAACTGTTGTTATTTACCGACACATCGATCCAACAACGAACAATCTGTGAATTATCCTAAAAGTTGCTTAAAAAGGGGAAGGCAATGTTGTCACACGATTTCTCAAGAAAGTGATCGTACAATTCCATACCATGATGAAAGAAAAAACTGGGAAGAGTGTGGCTGTAGAAGAGCAATTCCTTGCAGAAATTGTCACGGGCCACGGAATGAATGCAGGTACGAATATCCATTTCTTCTCACCATTGCACCGCGGATATTTATGCATTTGTAAGATAAGTTCGAAGGTTATCGACTTCTTATAATGTTTAGATTTAGTAGCGATTTAAAAATTTCATTTCAATCACGATCGAGTAGTTGTAGGTTGACGGTTAACTGCGTGAATTGTTGCAAATCGCGAAATAAGCGTAAACTAATTTGCGAAAGGCGAAGCAGCAGTGGATGCATGAAATCGATGGTCTGTCTTTATTGCGACAATCCACGCGACAAGTGCACGTGCAGAGCGCCGATACAAACATGTTCGTACTGTGAACTGTCCGTGGATCAGTGCATGTGCAAGGATCAGAGAACAATTTGCGATGGAAGACCGGTCCCGACCGAGCCTGATAACGATCGCACCATGTACGTTACTGCATGGAGGCCTAGAGAAGAAGTACGACGCTACTTCTCTAGGAACTTGGTCGATCTTAAAACCGATCGGATCGGTGAATGCTGCTACTGCGAGAAGCTCAAGCAGCACAACTCCGATGACCTTCCTTATCAACGGCTAAGCGTCTTTTCCGACGTGATGGATGAATTACAACAAAAAATAATCGAATCCACTTGTTGTGCACGATGTAAAAAGATTCCTTGCTGTTGCAACATCACCATAGAGAACGACGAAAGTAAAGAGGATAGGAAGATAAAGTACTATATTAGGTAGGATGTCTTTGTTAATTTAATTAACCCTTTAACGGTGTAAAACCTTCAAACGTAATACTATAGAGTATAATGTAAACGAACGATGAGTCACAATGAGTTTCAAGTTACATTTAAAAAAGTTAAAACGCAATTATTGATATTAATGATAATCTGTAGAAATAGTAGGAAATGTGTACTTTTTGCATTTAGTATTAAAAAGTCCTCGAAATCTTCGTCATTCGATTACACTGTCAAAGGGTCAAAGTAGAAGAGATAGATATCCTATCCAGACGTATCCTGTCAAGATATTATTTGCTGTAGCCCTAAAACACGACGAAAAATTATCGCGGTATGTATGGAGAAAGCAAACAATAATTGCAAGTATGAGTCTAATCGCGCAAAGAGCGATAAACAGAACAAGATAATAGTAGCTGTTTGCTGTGTTTGCAAAGCAACACCCTGTAGATGCAAGAGGCCCAAATCCAGCCAGAAGAAATTGAAAGCGAGATGTTATTACTGTAAAAATTCACCGTGCACGTAAGTTGTAATATGTAAGAACTTTACAAAAAAGAGAGAAAAGGAAAACGAGAAAGGGGGAGAAATTTCGCGTTAATGGAAATAACTTCCTTCGGCAATTACCCCGGACGTAGATCTGGTACTTCCAGTTGTCGATTTTTTTTATTACATTCTTTACTACAGCTGCATTGCAGCCAGAGAGCGCAACAAGTCGAGGCCATGCAGGTGCACTGATTCACCTTGCCGCGGGAAAGAGAAGGAGAGAGCACACCATGCGGAAAAATATCCACGAAACCGAAGAATAACGACGAAAGGACAATTTGCGTGCACTAACGTGACACCTGTGGTTACTTGACTTACAATTTGGAATATACAGTCAACCGAAACAAATCACTAGTGGGAATAAAGATGGGAATAAACTCTTTCAAGTTTCTCTAAAACGAGTTTCTCCCTCTCGGTCTTCAGAAAAAAAAATTCTTAGAAAATTAGAAATAAATAGAAATTTGCTTGAACTACATCGTTAAGAATGTTTTGTACAACGGTTCGTATGATTCTCTACTGAATTCTCGATGATCTTCCGTTCCCTACAATCAGAAGTATCATTTTTTAACTGATTATCAAACGTAACCCCCACTTCTGCCTCTATAAAGGTTCTATCAAAGTTTATGGCAACATGAAAGATTGATAGCTTCATCACTTTTACATATGTATACGTAATCGTAAAAAAATAGGGGAACTCTGTGATCGCCTTAGTTACGATAGAGCATTCATATTGCTAAACATTCTGATAATGTAGAATGTAGAGTTATTAATGGAACAAGCATTTAATTTTGCTAAAATGATACAACATACTATTGTAATATCTTTGTTTCTCCACGTCATGTGAAACAAGTGAAAAATAATCTAAATTAGTCTTCAATACAAAAGAGAGCTCTATGCAAAACTTAATCTAATTGAAAAAATAATTTTCGAATAAAATCGAATTTTAAGAATTTTTTCTTTCAATTTTAAGAAATGTTACACTGAGTGTTCTGTTGCTGCATTTTGTCCGAAATTGAAGGGAGAAAATGGATTTAAGACTTCGGAACAGCTGTATTACAGAAAATATTCGAAACTGCTAGAGTTGTCAGGAGTAGGGAGTATCTTAGGCTTCATACAAGACGCTGTCTCCTCCGCTTTATTAGATCGGTACGAACCGTAGACCGACAACGTTTCCTTCCTTCGCCACACGTGTTCCTCATTTGCTTTCACTTCCAAATAATTTTTCAAAATTTCCTTTCAAGATCATTTCTTCTTTCTTGCTTTTCCTTCATTTCGTCTCGTTGATTTCGATTAACAATTCTCTGTTAATTCTTCTATCCAACGCGACTGAAAAAAAAAAGTGACAAATTGAAAAATGCAAGTGTACAGTGAAGATCCTGGATTAATTTGTGTTTCTCGGGACAAACTATTAAATGAGAAGAACGCACGTCAAAGAGAAGTTTCTTTAACTCTTCGTGAACTCGTCGATGCTTTGCACGAAGCTTTCAAAACTGACCACGTGAACATAGACGATGTACAAGACCTGATGGCATCGTATAAAAGCAACCCCTTGGAATGGAAAAAATATGCAAAGTTTGACAGATATAGGTAAACTAACAACACTTTGAAAATTCTTTTTAAAAGTTACTATGATAAAAGTTTTAAAATAAAAAGCAAATTTTTTTTAATATAAAATACGATCATAACGAGACCGTATACCTAATTGTTCGATTAATAATAAACGCAAACAAGATCTCGTATTTTCCTCTAAATTTTTTTACGTTCACGAGATTATCGAATTTCTCGGTAAATATTTTATCAGTTGATACACAAACATAACACAACCACGTCGGAATTATAAAATAACATTAACATGGCGAAATTTACGATAGGTTATCATCCGTCACTGTTTCTTCAACCCTGATCGTCCATTGAATATTTTGCTTTATTGAAGACGCAATCAATCTCAAATAATGAATTTAATAACCTTGTACCCCAGGCGTTATCTGTACATGAAGTAAATGACCCTAAGAAAAATAAGAAGGGAACCTCATCGGATTTCTGATAGGAAATGACAAAACAAAAATTAAAACATTTACTAAAAGCGTCATTGTTCTTATCTGGACAAAAAAGAAAACACATATTACGAGATTGCAACGATTTCGCATTTCGCATTATTGCTATAATAACAAAATAAATGGGATAACGCATGCACTGAGCAAGTTATCAATATTAAAGCAATGAAAGTGTATACACAAGAATTATTCCAGAAAGATGTAAATGACTTGTATGATGACACCATTGCGATAGTTTGATCCGAGACGATGATTTCGTTTACATAATTAAAAAATGATAAATAACATCTATTAAAGTCTATTACAGCAAAAAGACATATCAACCAATACAATTCCATCTTGTGTTCGCATGTTAATTACATGTTATATTAATTGATACATGATGCGTCTAGATCATAAATTAAAACAATTTAAAAGAATAATTTCTATAAATTTTTTTCTTTTTTTTAAATCAAGAATAGAAATTCGTGCCTATAATTT